CAAGAAGAGCATGGCCGCCCACAGCCTGCAGCGGTAGCCCGCCCTCACCCTGCACACAAATCCTGGGGCACGTGCCCTCCCAGGATGATGCTAATAGTGGTGGGAGCTGCCCCCCTTCCCAAACCCCCTGGACGAGCTGTGGCTCCATCCTGGGCCCCACCCTGTCTGGGCTGCGCCTGCCCTAGCCCCATTCCCTCCTTCATCGCGGGGGCCTTAATCTGCCTCCCCCCGTGCTCCTTCCCTCCCCCCCTGCCCCTTCCCCAACAATAGGCTTACCAGCCAGATGCTGCTCTCCACCTGCTGGGCCACATTGACAATCAAATCGGTATTGTCCGATATGGCTCATTAAGAATCGGTCATCGGTACTGGCCAAAAAAATCTCTATCAGTGTGCCCCTGTAAAGAAGCCCAGAAGCCTAGAGATCTGCTTCTACACACACCCTTGCCACCATCTTGGCAGGACTATACAGCTCAGTGCCTAATTGCTACTTTATGCACCTAAATCCTTCTGTGGGTCTCGTCTTAATTGTGTATTTGTTTTGTTAAGTATCACATTGAAAGAAGCATAGTATATTGAGTAGTAATTTTCATTAAACTCACAGTTTAATAAATGAATGCATTAATTTTCATCCTGGACCAATCTTAAAAATTTCATTTTGGTACCTCCCAGTCAACACTTATGTTTGCGACTTATGTAATTTTACATATAACAATCTAAAAATACCTCAACAATAAATCTTTTTCACCATCTGAACTTGATTTTTTTTCAGAAAATCATCTTCAGATATAGTTTCTCCTGAAGTAATATAAAAAGCTGGTCAAATTCTAGTCTAGATCAAACAAAAGTTGTCATCTTTATAGTGTTAGAAAGCTTTATTGCTACCTGCATTCATCAAGACAAACTGGAAAAGTTGCCTGTGTGCTATCTGAAACAAGGCATACCTTTCCAGAGCGCTGGATAACAGTCACTTCACTAAAAGGTAGTAGCAAGGAATTACATGCCAATGTTGATGAAATTTTGCTAGTCTTATCAAGAGATAACACCAAAATTGCCATACACTGTTCATTTGAAGTAGCAAATATGCGTATTACATTGTGCTGTATGTGGGAGATGCAACTTGTCAGAAATACCAAATACTGATCAGGGCTGAAGACAAAGAAACACTCATTCTTTTCATATTGTTGCGAAACAGACAAATACAGACACTCAAGTTTTCTTATGGATTGGAGGGAAAACTACAGGTTCTTTGCAGCCTTTGAAATAGCTGTTGAGTTTGGCAAAGAAAAGGCAAAGCCTTTCCTATTTGTTCATGCCTTAGGAGAACAAGACAGACTTTACATTCCCTGTGAGGAAGAAAAGAACCACAAAACACCATTGCCTAAGAATTATAGCATCATATTATTTTTTGGTATTTGTTAGTTACCGCTGAAACCATTAACGGACATCTGAAGCAAATTTGGGCAACTTATAGTGAATTTGTGTCACTGCACCAGTGTACTTGGCCACATCACATGAGGCAAGACAGTGTGCCTAAATATTTTAGATCAGGGGTTGCAACCTTCAGTCTGTGAGCTGGATCCAGCCTTGAAGTGAATCTTTCTGGCTTTTGATGCCGGGGCTTCTCCAGTGTTTCAGTGGTGAAAAGCTTTGCCCATGTAGTGGCTAGGCAGCAGGGATAAGTGGCATCCACAGTGGCTAGGTCAGAAGGGCCAGCCTACTGTAGACTGAACTGGGTTATTTCAGCAGACCACTCCTGAAATGTTGCCAACCCCTTTTCTAGATTTTTTGAGAGAATTTCAGTGACCAAACCAAGCTCTGCATCAGGTTACATAAAAAGCAGTATTTGAAATTGAATAAAAGAGCGCTTCCTTTTGTCAGGAAGTGGTTCCTAAAAAAAAAAAAAAAAAAAAAAAAGGTGTCCCCAACCTGTCATACTGAGCATGCAGTTGAAAACTCTACCTATGAAGCAGTTAGAGCAATTTTTCTGGGGCA